GTGTGTCAAGTCGTGCGTCCGAGGGCGCGCGCGGCAAATTGCGCGGCGAAGTTCGTGGCGAATTTAGACGACTCCGGCGCCTACCATTGGGGCCCAAATCTGAAGCAGGATAGATTAGTAAGGTCACCTGATCCTACTATTCTACTGTACTTCAAAATTGGGCCCAAATAATAGGCGCTAAAGTCGTCAGAATAGTTATGGGTTTCGCCGCGCAGTTTGACGCGCGCACCCTCGGACGCACGACTTGACCGTCCCCCCCTAGCCTCTCGCCCATGAAGCGTCACGCTTACCACTACACCAAGCCACCGTTGAGGCGTGAGCTGCTTCCATATAATTTAAGTTTCCTCATGTAATGTCACCTAAAACCACCCTCATAACTCCGTTCAGAGATTCGCTTGGCAGATTTGGAAAGTGGATTTGAATTCAGCGCCCAAAAACACGTCTAGCAGTGTAGGTCTTATTTCAAATGGCCACTTCGAGTTGGGATCCTTCCCTGGTAAGGACCCTTATGAGCTCTCATCGGTTGTTATCAGCTCCCGTCACAGTGCCAAGGCTCTACTGTTGACACGAAGGAGGTTGAAAACCCGGTGGCTCCAGCTTTCCGGCTCTTTGTCAGCCCTTGCGCGCTCGTTATCAATCCTTGTCACCAATCACCTACGGTCCCTACACATCCCACACCACCTACTAAAGTGTTCCACTGTCAACATTGAAGACACTGACGACCTAATGGCCTCGCCTTCTTTGGCTTCTAACATCCCTTCTTAATACACACCCCTTATTAAAATGCAATGCCAAACCGTTACCACGAAGGAACCAACTGATCGTGCTGCTCTTCTCTATTACGGCTCTTCATCACTTCCTTTCAATTATTATCATCTCCTGAAACCTACCATCAGTGTTCCCATCATACTGCTTGTTCTGCTACTAAATTTGAACGTTATGAATTTCGTGAAAGGTGAACAGGGGTTGTGAATTCCTGGTCAAACACACACCGACACACCGACAAACCAACAAACACACTTAGCCAAATATATGTATATAGTAGCATTGTAGGATGGTTGTACATAACCAAGTTTTCGGTACTCTACCGCCATTCGGCGTAACGATGTACGTAAAAATGTCACTCCGAACTAAAATAAAATGACCGCAAATGCTTCGGGATTTTTGCCCCAAAGTCGTCTAGTAACTAGG